AAGGATGAGGAGGAGAGAAGAGTGGCAGTCAAAAAGATCTTGGATATGAGACTTATGAGAGGATCTGGGCATGACAAATCAGTTGGTGACGATTCCTTCAGGGTCAGGAAGACTCCTGAAATCAATCTAGGTGCCAAGACCCTCACTGATCTCATAGATCTGGATAACATCCAGGCTGGCAGTGAGCCCCCTCTTACCTGCAGCCTCACCAATGTTCAAGTCAGAGCTTTCCTGGACAACCCCATGCATGTCCCTGCCTGGCCCTCGCACACCCAGAGTATAGAGCGTTGTGTACAGCAAGTGAGCGAGGCCAGCAGTCACGTGTACAGCCAGGAGAGGAGGGAAGGCTACATCCGAGCTCAGGTGGTCAGCAGGGAGGTGATGAGTAGAAACAGAAGCAAGAAAGACATGTTCTCTATGGTGTGCAGCAACACCGGGTCGTAGTAGTAAAACCGGTTTTTGTATTTGATGATTTTGTTTTCTAAAGGAATATTAAATTTAATAAATGTGTCAAGATCATTCGTTTCACTATTCTGGATCATTTTCAAATAAATTAACCTGATACATTTACTTTACTTTAAATAAGCTATTTAGTGGTGTTGGTAAAAGGGTGGGAATACTGAATTTTCATAAGATTTCAAGTTAAAATTTACCTAGCAAAAAATGAAAACTTTTCAAATCTGAAGATATCACATGATTCTGCACATAGAACTACATCATTAATACCATGGGCCGATTTTTCAAACTCAAAAAAAAAAATTCGCCTCCGTATGACACACCCTACTACTGTATACCAATTTGGGGACAACATTTACAGAATAACTTGTGTTTAACTGCAAATAACTGTGTACAGCATATGAGATATTTTTCCTTTAATGTAGATTCAAAGTGTTGGCGCCCTCCACTATATTTTCAATGACAAATGTGTCCTAGAGCCTACAGAAGGTTGGGGACCACTGCGAGTCTAATCTATATTTGTTTTCGGTATATTTTGAGAACAGAGAAAGGGTAAATATATTAAGCATCAGCTATATTTATTAACTTTTCATTTTTATTGTTTTCAATACTTCAATACAAAAGAAAAAACCATAGACAGTAAAAATGTACTGGACCAATATCATGTAAAAGTCTACATTCCAAAAATGATACGAATAAACGGCTTCTGCATATTTAACGAAATACAGTATATATAATGTATGTATAAGCAACAAAACTGTTCAACAAACATACAAAACAAGCACAATGAATACCAAAAGATCACGTTAAAAATTTTAATACAGCATAACGCTGAGTTTATATTGGCAACGCAATATTAGAAAGTTTTGTTTCCGAATAACAACCTTGAGTTGGTGTTAAAATAAAAATGGGTTTCGACAAAGACGTCATTGTCGAAATGATAATTGGAAATCTTTTGAATATAGATGCGATGTGCACAGGGGGAGCCTTCCCGCCCTCCCCATCCCTTGGCGACGACCCCTCCCCTTGACCACTATACTTTCGAGCATTAACATTCCGTGTCATACTTGTCAATAAATATCGAAGCTATAAAACTGATCAGATTATTTTTATGTTTGACCAAGGTTGCCTAAACAGGGCGAGAAAAATCGTTTATAGCTGTTTTAGTTGACGTTAATGCATTACTTTTAACATTTTTCACCTCGATTTGTTACTTGAACACCAGTGGTCCCCACGCACTCTGGACACATATTTTCAATTTATGTACTCACTTAACTTCCCGTTGTAGAATCAAGTTTATTTTAAACAAATCATTGTAAATTTGACAAGTAAATACTGTACTGTACTCGCAAAATTTTCAGTTGCTGATGAGCAAGAAATGGATTATTCATTTAATTTCAATTTACCTGCACAAAACACATAAATTTCTCCGAACTAAGATGGTAAAGCGTAAAAATTTGTAAATGATCGTGTAAAAAAACTTTAATGAATACCAAATGCCACCTCAAAGGAAAATGATAGGATTCTGGTAAAGCAGCCTTGGCAACCGTCATGGAAAGTGAAAGTAGGTTTCATAGACCTGACATCTTATCGCGGTAGTGTACAGCCGGGGACAAAAGTTCGCTCCTGGTGGTGAATCTGAGTCACGGGAATGACCTTTTTAACTCATTTTGGGTCGATGCTGCTTCATTTTGGGCGGTAGTGAACTTTTGACCCCCACTGTACACTCACGCCCCCAAAAAACTATCTTTCCGGAGGGGATCGATGAATTTCAAAATGAACACTGCGTCTCCTGTTGTCTCGGTAGGGTTTTCAAAATCCTTCGTCTGTTGAGTAATATTGTCTTACACAAAATAGTAAAGATACTTTTTGGAGCGACTTACACCCTACACCTTGACTATACCCTTATTTTTTGGTACACTGAAGTCGATCACCTTTAGCTTCCTAACCGTATGATTAGATATCCATTTATAGGGGTAAAGGTGGACATCCTAAGTGAGCGCTGTATCCACTCGGCCGTCGCACACCATATGGCCGAGTCAAATGCGACAGGTTTTGGACGATATTTATCGTCACATATGTGTATATAGGGTATACATATATCACAATATTCTACTTATTTGTACAGAAGCCAAATGCCATAGCCGTTAAATATTACCTGACTATTTTAAAGTTTCAACAACAGTTCATTACCCATAGTTAGACCACACCTGCGTGACGCGAAGAGGTTCATCGACATTTACCTTTAATATGAATCAAGTGTTTCTTTTGTTTATTCATCTATAATTCAAATGATACACATAAAGGATTTCACTTGTCTAGGACTTCTAAATACTAGACTTTGAGGAACTGAATTCTGGATACAACATACATACAATCACAATTGTGCAAAGAAAATTTAGATGACGAAAAGTAACAAAAAATAACTTAATTACCCATGAGATATGATTATTAATAGTGTTCAAAGAACAATAACTGTTACGTTATCATTCCATCGCCATCTATATAAATATGAAATGATAAATTACTTATTCAATAATGTCTGACCTTTTCCGAATGACTTTTAGATACGACGGTGTAACTGGGTCCTTCAATAACCCACTGTTCAATTGATTTACTTCTTCATTAAGGGATTTTTATAAATATTGTATGGCCATTTTAAATAGCTGTTTAAAAATAGCCTGCAGTAAATAAATGTAAAATACCCAAAACAGTTCGTTCCAGGAAATGACCAAAGTAATTACAGTGATTCAGATAATGGCTTTCCACTGCGCTGAACACTATGCTCGCTAACTCATTTGTCCTTGAGCTGCACACAAATTGAACCTAAAAGCGGAATTTCAATTGCTTAAGGGAATGTAGACGTTAACACGAATCCTTAGTCAAACTCCATTTGTACAGTATTTCAATAACTTTTAGGAAGATATTCACTTTGTCCGAGCCATTTCCAGGTGGCTGTAGAAGGAATACTTTCTAACTTACACCACCAAAATAAAGGATAATAATTTGTATACTTTCAATAAACTGCCAGGTTAGACATAGAACTGAAGATACTGCAATTCGTCAAGAAAGGAGGACAATATCTGAACATAATTAATGCTCTTTTTCTGCATTTCATCTTAAAATGAAAGAATATCTCTGACTGCACACTTGTGTTGTCCTCATTCACACGACATGAAGCAGGTGCCACTGTCTGATCACTGTCTCAATGGTGGTCAACTATGGTGAAGTTTGGTATTTATTGTGAGATCTTAAGAGGATTCACATGCTGTCAGGACTAAGAACATAAGATATAGATGTTTAGTTTGTTAGTGCGGGTGGTGCGGGTGGCCTTGGAGATGGTCGTGTACTATCTCCTATCCTACCAGGAGGCACGGGTCGGAGGTATTTCCACAGTTTTGAAGTCAGAGAGCTGAAAAGGAGATGCGAATGGCCTAGGCCCCTAGTCCACCCCTAGGCAATTATAGTAATCGGCCACATTACAAACAAGAAAGCAGTAGTCGGCCGCATACATCACACACACTATAGATATACAATATGTACAAGTGTATTAAATACAAACAAACAAAACTGAAATTGGGCATTAATAAATATAGAACTGAACCATATATTCAGAAGAGTACTGGTATACTGAGCAATGGTAATTAAAGTAACCTAATGCAACATAAAAGTGTGTTTCATATTCAATAAAACAAATGAGAGGGTTACTAAGACTCGTGAAATTCGAGATTGATCCTCTGCATTTTTTCATGAAATCTGGTTCAAATTTAGTAAAAGCTTATTCTACAATGTCACTATACTGCATAGCCTAATATCATATTAGTCCATTGTTTATCTTCAGCTTTTGGCTATTGCAATTTTCAGTAAAGTGTTAATTATATTATTGCTATTTATTACACACACACACACACACACTTATATATATATATATATATATATATATATATATATATATATATATATATATATATATATATATATATATATATATATATATATATATATATATATATATATATTTAAATCACTGTAGGTGCGCGTGATCTAGGTATATGCTGATAACCACAAGGAAAGAAGAAAACACAAAGTTCCCAAGCGCTTTCGTGTAATTCACATCTTCAGGGGTGAGTACAGACTAGAGAGAGTAATACAAATCAAGGTGTATATATACAGAGGAGGGTGAGACCAGGTCCACAATGGTCAGGTATTAGGTAATGACCCAACTAATCTTTAAATAGCACACAACGGTTGGTGGTCAGGTCAGATGGTCAAGTGACCCGGCCTTCTCACCTGATCACAAATCTTCTTAATTACAAAATTGTCCAGCTTGTACATGCCGTTACTCAAATTCATGTTGAATGCTTCGGTATGTTTAATAAGACTAGATTCTATATATATATATATATATATATATATATATATATATATATATATATATATATATATATATATATATATATATATATATATATATATATATATATATATATATATATATATATATAAAGCTATATTATGTCCACTTACACACCATCACCCCCCAGGGAGTTGTCTCCTGTGCTGGGTGTGCTTACCGGAGGTGGTCGGAGGCACGGACAGCAAGGACGCCGCAGTAAAGTGGATTGCAAATATCAGCCGCACCTGGGAAGGAGTAACGCAGGAAGACCTAGGCTTATGCAGCCAATTCACTGACTCGGACAAGTTTCATCAATACTGCAGCCACGGCATAGGATACACTGCTTGCATCAAAGTCTTTAACGGTAAGTTGCATTGCTAGGTCTCCCTATTCTAATTTACGTTTTGTTACGTCAGCACTACTTGAACGATGTTATATGTGCTAAATCAAAAGTACGTGGCCCATTTTGCATCAAGATGTGCTAGTTCAGTACTACATGACCTAGGTCCTGTTGTGTTAGCTCCGGGACGCTACGTTAAGATGTGCAAGGTCAACAGTGCATGGCCCAGATAGTTCTTCATTGTGATTACTTCATCACCACATAACCCAGTTTAATTAAGTTCGCCTAGCCCAGCTTGCTTTAAGTTGTCCGAGATCAACTACATGACCCAGGCTGTGTTATTTCTGCCTTAGGATAACCTTGTTGTCTCAGGTTGGTGATATGTACTGATAGACTGCTAGGTCACCACTATGTAACCCAGACGTTGCTAGTATGTGTAAAGTCATCGCCACGAGACCTAGGCTGTGTTCAGGTTTATGGCGTCAATTTATTTTTTTCATTGGGCTGTGCTAGGTCAACATTATGTGGCCCATGCTGTGCCAAGCGTTGTTGGTGGTACAGCGGTAACGCTCATAACTCTCACTAATATGTCAAGGGTTCTAGCCTCGGCTCGGCCACACGTGAGAAGGGTGTTATCCAGTGTGACCCTCACTACCAAACACCACAGGTTTCCCGGTTTGTTCCTGTACTAACACTGGATAGACCGCCCAAACGGCTAGTAAGCTGAAAATTGGTGAATATAATATAAAAAGTAGTGTTTGGTCAGTACTGCGTAACCCAGGCTATGTTGAATTCACCGAAGTCAACACTACATGCCTCAAGTGTTTTCTCTCAGCTTCACTCATAGACATCTCAAAGTGATCTATTTTATTTTTCAGGTACATTTCAAAGTCTTTCCATACAAACAGGTTCTTTCTGTGCTCGAGAATATTTTCATTTAGATTAAGATTACGAGGAGGCCCCATGCGTCCTCTTCGTCCTCTGACACCTAAAGTCAGCCCAAGAACTTGCATTAACAATTTATTAAAGGCAATATGTTCAATATATGGCACTTACCATGTGCGAAGTGATACAGTAACAAAGAAGTCGAATGAGTTTTGTCCGCTATCTGGTTTCTGTACATTTCGCCGCACAAGACTTCACTACTCGTCACCTTAAACTAAACCCAACGAATCCTAACATAAGCAAACTAACATAACGTGATTAAATCGAGCTTTACTAAAGTCAGTATATATTTATTCTTTACCAATAACCAACTCACCTCGGGTGGTAACTAAACAACCAATTCGTGAGATCTTGTCGCCTTGGCCCGTTTGTTAAGTCATGTTAGTCAGCTCTACATGACTCAGACTGTTAACTTGTTGATCACAAGTTAACAGTCTGAGTCATGTAGAGCTGACTGTGTGTGTTGGGGGGGGGGGGATTTCATCCGCATAACTCAGTGTGCGTATGTTTTCGTGCTTTGGCGCGCGCGCGCGCGCGCGTGTGTGTGTGTGTGTGTGTGTGTGCATTAAGTGGTAGCAAACTCGGAGAATTAATGGTCAATCGATGTGAGATTTTAGCCCTTAATGGTCGAGGTCAGTATGTCAACTTCCTACGAAGTAAAGATAAGAGTAAGTAGAGCACTTACCCTCGTCCATCAGACTGTAGCAGTTTGTGTGTGTGTGTGTGTGACGGAACGTCAAGGATTGTGGATTGTTCAGGCAGTGGGCATGCACTATATTTTTGTTTTATACGCCTGTCTTTTAAAATTCATCATAAAACGGAGAACATCAATGCTGCCTCCGAACGCCGAACAGATTGATGACTGACATACTGTATGTCTAAGGAGGGCTGTGACAATAAAAAATATATATACATTCCACATATCTCGAGATATGGACACAACATAAACTACTTGGTGCATAAATTTACACACGTGCTATATGCTCATTCATCCGTGAATGAAGGTTATCATATATTGTCCTCGACTATTGTAGCACCTGTTCAAAGATTTAGTGTATTAAAGAAAAGCCAGGTTGCATTACACGGAGTGGATGACCCTGAGACGGTTAATTAAGGTTGGCAAATTCATTGGCAAAGCTTGGAATACAGTTTGCTTATTCTGAGTAATTCAGTCAGGTCTTGACACTGAGGGTGCTATCACTTCTCACTGCCACGCAGGACAGAGGTTCACACACAAAGAAATACATCATATTCATTAACAGTATAGGTCATGTTCATGTGGGTGATATCACTGTTCACTGCCACGCAGGACAGTGGTCCATATACAGTAGATTTTTATTTTTTAGATTGCCCCCCCCCCCCCGAGGGGGCTAGTTTATTGGGCACCTCCTTACACCCTGTGCAAGGTGAAGCGCAGAAGCGTTTACAGGTCCCATCTGGGAAGTATACTAAGTTCATGTTTGCCTTTATGATTCATGCATTAAGGGCGTAGAAGCCTGAAGGGTCATAGGTTTTGTCAGCAAGTTACATAAAGTGAGAGAATGATGAGTGTGTGGGGAGAAAGTTCCCGGTACATTTCATCTGTTTATGGCAAAGCGTGGCAGGTCCCTAATAATGTCAAGTGCCAGGCCTGTCACTAGGAGGAGGGATATCTGGTCAGGGAGGGAAGTGTTGGTAACGGCTGGGGACCTGTAGGAGGTCATAGGGCACATGAGGATGTAGTGAGAGAGGGTGTGAGAGTCGGGTTGGTCACAAAGTTTACAAATAGTGCGGCCAGGCTGAGGGTTGCCAATGTACTCCCATAGGTACTATACAGTATATGTCATATTCTATTTCAGGACTAATCAGTGTGGGCTAACAAATTTTGGATAGACAGCAAGAATGTCCTCAAGCACTCCTGATTCAATGTAGTAATTACACAATTCATAATACAATAAGACAGGTGACCTGAAGTCTTTGACAGCATCACATTCAATAATATAATGTTCAAGTATATGCTTTAAAGGTTTATCACAAAGTTTACATGCCGAGTGTTCCCATATTGGGTACAGCGCCACTAACTTGCCAGATGTTTCTGTATCCTAGCCTAATTCTGGCCACTACTACATCACATTGTCTGGTTCTGTCCTTGTGCTGGCCATACCGGTACCTCTTGTCACAAAATTTTTCATATTTACTAATGCTACCACTACCAGGTCTCTCTGCGGACACAAAAATTACCTTCAGTAAAGAAGAAACAAGAAGTCAACCATGTAATGAAATGGTTGAGTAACTTGGCGTGTGATGGAACGGTATCTAATATACTATAGGAATAGCCGTGTGTCTGTGTGTGTGTCTGTCTGTTCTGGGCAGCCGAAACGGCACACTCGTTTTTCATCAAACTTGGTGGAAAAATCGCAAAAAATTCGTAGAGTGGAACAAACCTGGTTCCATATCGATGGTTTCTTTATGAAGGCATTAATTAACCATTTTATTTAAGCTGGAAAATGATGCAAGTCTACGGACTTGGCGCGCCCTCATTCGCTGTACGCTGTCAGCCGGACGGCGGTTGCGCACTAGACAAGCACGAGCGTTCAAAGTTTCACCGGGCACGAAGGGCCCCATATCACTTGTAAACACTATGTTGTTTGTTTCAAACAGCTAATGTGACGGGTGATGGTTTTCAAACTATAATTGAAGCTGACCTTTGCTACTCGGACATCCTTTGACCAATATTATATTATTATTACATTGTAACATTACAGTGACCGACAAATTGTGATGAGGGAAACACGCCTACCATCGTTGATTCGTGTATGACAGGAACCCAAAACTCACACACTTCATTTGTTTTTAATTTAATAAAACTGCAAGAGACGAGAAAAAAATAGTTTGTCTTGCAGTTATCAGATCAAGAGGTGAAGAAAGCCTAACTCTCCTAATTTTCCAGATATAATCCCGATCAGAAACAACAAAACTATTCGTGTTCAGAATATCATAGAGCGCAAGGGGACTGCTCAGGTGTAGTGCTCGTGTGGCTCGAAAAATATAAAACAAGCCTAATTCTGCTCGACAGATAAAAATGTTGCGGAATCGATCGGTTAGCAACTTATCCGCTCGCATGGCTTGGAGTCATGCGAGCAGGAATACAAACAGCTGACCCCATCTCTCTTACAGATCTTTGGACAGCCCGCACATGTGGCCGCCTCCCTACTGGGATGAAGGATGGAGGGTGTGTAAACAATGGTAACTACACCGTCTGCTACAACTTGCTTGACTACTCCAACAAAGCTTCATCATCAAAAGCACTTCCTCTCTTGCTGTTGCTGCTGCCCACTCTCACCATAACTTACTAACTCTAATCTTACTCTGACTTTCAGGAATCTAGCGAGATTGTTATCTAAGCTATATTTAGCTAGCGTTACTAGCGTAACTATTGTTCATACCAAAGGTCTTTTTTTTTCACTTGGTAAATATGTGATTTGCTTCAAAAGGAAGGTTCTGGTTGTTCATAAAGAAAATGTAGAGACAGTGCTTCGGAATAAAGTTGACATCTCTCACACCTTCCCCAAAATGGCAAACTAAGGTCCTCTCATATCCTTGGAAAGAGACCTTGTTCCGGCACTCGACTGCCTTGGGTGAGAGCGTATACTGTACATGGTAATTTGTAGGAATATAGGTAACATCTCCTGCTCAGGGTGTTCTTGAACTATGTTCAATTTATTAAAACAATAATATTTTGTGTGTATCTAAATTCCTAGCTAAAACGAACCTACCAAGCTTAACCTTAACTAAATATTACATCATCGTTAGGTAAAGCTACATAGGTTAGTTTCATTCATCTTACGTCGTATAAATCGTATACGCTACTGCAGTATGTCCAACATTTCTCTTTGATTATAGAAACCATTTTTATAGATGATTGTCTGAATAGAATACCACTTACCCATAACTCGCGGGTAGAAGAGATCACCAACCTCTAACTGGCTGTCGATGTGACAGTAACTTGGGGTCCTGGAGATGATGTTTTTATTATTGGTGAGGTGATAAAAACATTGTTTTATGAGAGAGACCCAGACACCTCAGACACCTCAACACTCCATTTAAGACTACAGTACATGTACTGTACTTTTACAGCTGTAGAAGTAATTTGTTGCCCTTAAACGTAGGAACTGCCTGTCTGCCTGTTAGAAGTTATGGTACAGGTATATGGTATACTTAATCCTTCTCGCGTTTGTTTTATGTTGTTACAACTTTCCCAGTTTTTGGGTTTCCAATTTGTATTACTTTTGAGTGTTATTGGAGTTAATAAAGAATTATTACCAATACTGTTCTTATTGTTCCTTTATTTTCATATCCTTATCACATTGATTCTCGTGTTTAAAGATCTAGTGGAGGGGTAATTTTTGCCTAGCCCTATCATTCAGGACTGAATTTAAGGCAGGGCAAGCAACACAGCTGCCCCCCCCCCCCCTCCTCCCATTTTTTTTACCGATTTTGGGATTTTTTGAGGTCATAACGATATTAGGATATATTCTAAGGTCAACATTAAGTACTTCATCCCACTGGTTATGATTAAATCGCTCAAACTTATATTTATTTTGTCTAATGATCATATTACATGTACGAATACCCTTTGATATAATTGACAATTATTGATCATATATAAAATCCATAAAACAAAATATTAACTTTTACTTTTTTACTTTCATCCTCTTCGCCACTGATCGGCTTGTTAGCCGCTTGGGCGATCAGTCACGTCTCTGATTACTTTTCCTTTTCATTTATCTTCACCAAAAGATCGGCTTGCTAGCCGCCCGGTCAAGTCTCTGTCACGCACTGTTGGCAAATACTGAGCATGCACCGGCTCCTGAATGTACCTGAACCCGCTCCAGTGTTGGTCAAGTCTTGTCTTGAAAGAGCTCACACTCGGGACCGTCACAACACTCTCTCTGGTAGATTGTTCCAAGAGTTTACAACCGAAAAAGTTTGCCCTCACAGTTTTCTGGACTTGCGGAGGATTAAAATTCATCATTCATCACGCACAGAGTGAAAATCAACGTTTATTTCCCAGTTGAAGAGTGCCTAATTACTAACAAAATTATAAGACAAAATTTGCCAGTTTCGGGCGATATTTCAAAGAATTTGAAATAACTTTTGAGTGTCTGCTCCGGCCATCACTTACTCATCGAGTGTCACTTTTTAATATATCTTACTTTTAAATTGAACCTATTTGATGTAAAATTAATCCTTAGTATTTGTCTATCTTGCATTATATCCTAGAAAATAAGAACAAAAATCAATATCCTTACACAGGTATTTACCAAGCAAGGAAAACCGGTGGTTAGAAATTTCTAGATTTTGCATCCCGGCAAATATGTTTTACTCGATTCATTGCTTCTGCTATTATAATAATTTACGACAGTTCCTTTCGCTTGGCATTCTATTTTTTGTTTACATGCTTATTATTAAAACAAGCAAAACTATCAAAACGTCATAGAAGTACAATACAGTACTAATCACGAGAGGGCAGCAAAGCGCATGCGCATTACACCGGCCTCAACCGCCTCATCCTCTCCTCATTGAACCGCTTTGCTGTACGCTACGTGACTCGACAGTGCAAGTATCGTCTGGTATTTCTGCTTTACAAGGTATTAGTCAAGTTTTATGTTCTTACTTGAAAAATAACTCTCCTTAGAATTGTACTCTATTGCATTTTTGGTGTGACATTACCTTTTTCCCAGCAAGTATAGGTGTTAATGTAAGGTACCGGAATGATGGCCTTGGCGTGATCACGGCGAATGAAGTGACTTCCTTTATCACAGTGACTATGCAGTTTAGATTCTTATATGAAATCATAAACCGACGGCTTGTCTGAAATTAACTTAGTATTTATGTAATATGTTTGTTTGCACCTTTTATTTTAAGAGGAAAAAAAATGTTTGCATGTTGACAGGCGTGTGATGGGTTTGTCAGGGTTGCGTCATAGAGGAATAACGATTCTGGTATTGGGCACGTAGCTTTGGTTATATTACGAGAAGTGGTTACAGCTCTTATCTATGTAGCCCCATACTCTGGGCATACCATTCCCTAAGCGAAACTCAAACGGGGCTCTCCTTATAGAGGGCTCCACTGAGTGACGGAATCCCATATCTCGGCCATCAGACCGATCAGTGGCGAAGAGGATAAAATAAATGGGCTGCTCGAATCTTTTAAATAAATCCAATTATAGATGTGCAAGGTAAATTTTTACTTTAGGACACGAGTTCCTAGGGGTTGACCAATATGTTTTTCCAGTGCATTTTGGTGTTTTAAGCAAATCTGACCTTCATTTTTGTCGGAAATTGCTCGGTTTTTTTTGGCCCCCACCCCGACCCCCCAGCAATAATGGGGGAGAGCCTGTGAAATCGGGGTTTTTGATTGGGGGAGAACACGAAAAAGAGTCGCCTAACCTAACCTAAATGTTTCAGTAGTTTATAACTTGGGGCTCGCTATGTCCTAAGTAAAATGCCATGTGCAATGGATTTTCCTGTGGACTATGTTCTTTGGGGTTAAATATTCTGCAGTGACCATGCACGAAACACTATTGATTTGCATTCACTGCTACTACAGGGAGAAACTGGGTCCGACTAATTACCCAAATGTAGCCGCAATGAAGTCAATTAATGGTCCTACATGAATAAATCGGACTGCCAATCACTTCTTGACTAGTATTTGGTGTCACGAAGTCACAAACAATTGGTAAACTCAATTTAATCTGAGTTAATAGATCGCGTGCATGTACCTAACCTAACCTAACACAACTCTGATTAAATTAAGTTTACCAATTTTTTGTGACTGACCAAATAATAATCGAGAAGTGATTCACAGCCCGATTTACGCTTGTAGGACCATCATTTGACTTCATTGCGACTACATTTGGGTAATTACTCGCTCCTCGGTACAAGCACGCGATCTATTAACTTGGTTTAAATTAAGTTTTCAAACTTTTTGTGACGCCAAATACTAGTCGAGAAGTGGTTGGCAGTCCGATTTATTCATGTAGGACCATTATTTGACTTCATTGCGGGTACATTTGGGTAATTAGTCGGACCGGGAGAAACTTGAGTGCCTGGAGAAAACTTGGGTAGTTTTCTGAATTAACACCCGTCAGGCACAACAATACTCGGTAATATTGCAGTAAACTGCAACCACAGAATCTGGAAATTCACTACTCATGAAAATTCACTACTCAATCGATAGAACTAATTTTTGTATGCAGTAATCATTTTATTATATATTAGGATAGGTGGTAACACATTTTTATCACTGGTTGCAGTAATCTGGAATTTTACCCAATACTAAATGGCCCTACCACTTACCTTATCCCAAATTTGTGATGTTTGGTAGGGTCACACTGATATTGGCTTAGAATTGAATCTTCAATATTTAGTCAAGTGCTGCACCTAACGTGCTGCACCTCCTAACGGTTAATATTGATGAGTGACCTGCTTCGTTTGGTAGATAATTAGGCGTCTAGGCGCACACTACTGTCTTCCTGGCGGTAATGCAGTGGTAATGTCTCGTCCCAGGATGTAAACAGCCATCATAATGGCGTACACTATTTCAAAACACTGCCACCCGGGCCAGATCAATGCTGATGCACTCACATCCACAAAAAACCTAAAATTACACCATATAGTAACTTCATTGTTTATATACCAGAGGGGCTAGGTGGGTAGGTAGGTTTGTTTGGTTATGTAGGCTAGGTCTTTGACAATGCTTCTGATTTTTGTTCTTCATATAAAATAAGGTTAGGTTTAATTTAGAAATGACTTTTTAACACATTTGCTCAAACTACGACAGTTCCCATTATAAAAGTGAAATTGCGTAATTTTTATAATAAATTTATATGAAGAATTGGCTGCGGGTCAGTCGTCAATAATTACCCACTGAACTGTTGTATTTGGCTAAACTGGAGGACTTGACAGCCGACGGTCCGACTAATTACCCAAATGTAGCCAAATATAGCCGCAATGAAGTCAAATAATGGTCCTACATGAATAAATCGGACTGCTAATCACTTCTCGACTAGTATTTGGTGTCGGAAAGTCAAAAAAAATTGGAAAACTTACTTTAATCTGAGTTAATAGATCGCGTGCATGTACCTTACCCAAATGTAGCCACAATGAAGTCAAATGATGGTTGTACAAGCGTAATTCGGGCTGTGAATCACTTCTCGATTATTATTTGGTGTCATAAAGTAAAAAAAAATTGGTAAACTTAATTTAATCTGAGTTGTGTTGTTAGGTTAGGTTAGGTACATGCACTTGATCTATTAACTCAGATTAAAGTAAGTTTTCCAATTTTTTGTGACTCCGACACCAAATACTAGTCGAGAAGTGATTGGCAGTCCGATTTATTCATCTAGGACCATTATTTGACTTCATTGCGACTACATTTGGGTACATTTGGGTAATTCCTCGCTCCCTCGGTACATGCTTGCGATCTATTAACTCAGATTAAAGTAAGTTTTCCAATTTTTTGTGACTTTCTGACACCAAATACTAGTCGAGAAGTGATTGGCAGTCCGATTTATTCATCTAGGACCATTATTTGACTTCATTCCGGCTATATTTGGCTACATTTGGGTAATTAGTCGGACCCGACAGCCGATGCTTTGTCTTTGTTTTGATGTTTATATTCGGTAAAACTGCACTTTCGGACAATAGGCCCTAGTAGTTCAGCAATTATTTTTTCCAGTGTTTTGGGTGGATTCGATCAAATTTGACACTCATTTCTGTTGGAAATTACCCATTTTAGAGTTATAACCCCCCCCCCCCCCTTTCCTTTCAGTCTTGGGGGACATGTAGGAATTTGGGGTTTTCAGGTGGTTGGGGGAGGGGAGAACCAAAATAAGTGATATGCCATGTAAATCACCAAAGTTGGCTCGGATTTTCGGTTTTGAGAAGTAAATGAAAGCCAAAATTTGATAATCCAATCCCCGGAATTTTATCTGCATGTTGTGCATGTAATGGAGTAAAAAACCTGAAGAAATTTAAGTATAGTATATTTACAGAAAAATTAGTTGAAATTACTTGGCTCTTAAATTAAATAATTTGTTCCAGAACATTCCGGTAGCCGATTTTTGGGGGTGCTCCGAATAAATGGTCCCATACTTGTACTGTGTATATGTAACACATGCATGATGTTCCAAGTTTTTTGTGCTGTTTTTCAGTGTACAGTAATTGTACATTTCCTTGTGACAATAGACCTTTATAAAGATGGATCTCTTTTGACACTAATTTTTAATTTGCAGAAAGTAACAATGGCTGATGTCAAGGATGCCTACATTGCTGCTCTTGAAAAGAAGCTGGCAGAGCTGTCTGGGATTGAGGTGGACCAGATTAAGAAAAACCAGGTACAGTAATTATTTGCCTCGCTCATAAATTGCTCCACTGTTGCCTTATGGCTAGAAGAATATTGTCAGGACCAAGGTTCTCTATACTAATTAACTTTGTGTGGACTAATATGAAGGTAATGTGGATATGCACCTTCAGTGAAAACAATTACAGTCGACCCTCGTTATTTCGGACTAATAGGGGGGGAAGGGTGTCCGTTTTAGCCGATTGTCCAAATTAACCGATTTATGGGTTAATATTGCATTATATTTCATTCATTGTTTTCGTCACGACTTTATCCCACTTTCCACTGTAATACGTACGTCATTTCAGCAAAAATATTTCATTTCCGTGAATGTATTAATCAAGCACAGTATGAATAAAATATCATTGTAATATAACAGTATTTTAACCGAAAACTAGTAAAAAAACGAATAACATCTCAAGAACATCGGAAGCTTAGGTAAATTTTTTTGTTTTCGTCATGTATTTTATCCTATTTTACTTTGAAATACATCATGTTTCAGCAAAACTACTGTTTATTTCCGAGAATATATTCATTCAGGCGCAGTTTAGGTAAAATATACGTGTGATGTAACATTTTTTTAACTGAAAACGATTCGAAAAACACGTACCCTCTAGCCCTGTTCAAGGAGAGGACTGGGAGAAGCTGTTTGGTGCTGCAGACGATGACAAGGAAAATGATTTGGATGGATTTTAATGAAAATTTTCAGAAATATGGTATCGTAGTCAAGTCAATTAGGATAGAATATTATTGTAATACAACAGTTTTTTAACTGAAAACCAATCGAAAAGCGATTACGGTAACATCTTTTGAACGAAAGAAAGCGAAAGTCATTGTTTTCGTCACGATTTTATCCCACTTTCCACTGTAATACGTACGTCATTTCGGCAAAAATATTACATTTCCGTGAATGCATTATATCAAGCACAGTATGAATAGAATACCATTGTAATATAACAGTATTTTAACCAAAAACTATTAAAAAAACGAATATCTCAAGAACATCGGAAGCTTAGGTAAAGTCTTTTGTTTTCGTCATGTATTTTATCCTATTTCACATAAAAATTACATCATGTTTCAGCAAAACTACTATTTATTTCCGAGGATATATTCATTCAGGCACAGTTAAGGTAAAATATACCTGTGATGTAACAGTTTTTAATTGAAAAAGATTCGAAAAACACGTGTGCCGTCTAGCTGATACTCAACAGCTGGTGGTGCGTCATGCGTCGTTGTAAACAATAGGAGGTTGAAGTAGATTACCGGGTATTATATTAAGTGTGAAATATCAAAAAGGTTTTTATTACCGGTATTTTTTGTAGATCAATGAGAACTGTTATACCGTATATGATATGATAAGTTAGCCTGTGCTAAGAACTTCAACATAGACTACTGAAAACACATTGTAAGGTAATTTAGCCTATTGTAAGTTGGTGAGCTTCATTTGCTGAAGAAACTGCACAACTTTTCATTACTAATTGGTACATACTTTACGTTTCCATTGTTTACTGGCAGTAAATGGTAAATATTTTTCATGTCTGAAGCTTGAAGTTGCATCCCCCCTACCCCTGCCCCCCACTAGTGGTGGAGATGTTACATTTAACCAAAAAGACGCTGGTGTTTTATCCCAGCAGTGGGTGGACCAGCATTTTAGCTTAAGGTCTGCGTAGGTAATATTCCTACAAATCTAAAAAAAAAAAAAGTTCCTTCAGATTTTGTCCGAATTATCCGAAATCCGGATTAAAGGGGTCCGAATTAACGAGGGTCGACTGTATATGCAAGTAGAAAGAACATATAAACAAGGAATAATGAACAAGGTACTTTGCTCATGTTTACCTGTAATGTGAGAAAGTGATGCCACTATTGTTAACGAGACGTGTGGCTCGAAAAATTACATTGCATGGCTGTATAGATGCACATCTTAAGTGTTGGTTATGACCCATACCTTGCTTATTCCTGTTATGTTAATATTTTTGCATTAAAGCGGATTCCTCTCGAATGAAGACAATTGACTTAATAAGACTGTATAGTTCTTCTTCATTCCAAATTCAAAAGCTGAACCCTGTGAAAATAGATCAGTGCCTTATCTGTGTGGTTTCACTCCAGAATCCTCTTGCAGTTGGCAGGGGCTGAGTGTAATAAGTAGTGATTTGGGGAAGTGTCCCCTTGGAGGCATACCTGAAGTTCCCATGTTGTACAATTTAAAAGTTAAAAATAAGCACAAGGTGTATATTATTAGAAAAAAAAATCTAGAAACACTACAGTAAGTATACTATCTACATAATAAAAAGTTAAAAAAAAAAAAAAAAAATAATAAATGGAGTGCAAAACAATAGTCCCACCTGATGCCACATACCTAGCAACACAGGTGCAGCTCCTCCCCGACTTACTACGGGGTTAGGGATCCAAAACCAGGTTGTAAGTCGAAAATGCTTAAATATAGAAAATCTAAAATGGCTGTCCCTTTTTCTTATGAAAATTTTGTGTACTGACGTTGAGACTCGAAAATACGTAATTTGACAATTTTGGTACGACCGAGGCAGGTCGTGAGTGCGGATGGTCGTAAGTCGGGGAGGAGCTGTACTGTATTGTACTATACCTGAAATGTGCTGTGCATGTAACTCTATTCTGTAGCAAGTTTTGGTTGATTGGTCAGATGTACCAGTAGATCCTTATACCTCTCGCCCCTCCCCCTTTTATTTATGGACAAGTGTTGCTTTTCACATCTTGGAAATATAATTTTCTGACATAAGTACTGTCTATATTACATATAGATTTGTATTTCAGCTTGCCAATGCAGCAGATGAAGCAAGAGCTATCGGTGAGATGGCAGAGTACGTGGCTAACATCCAGGTACAGCAAGCGGCAGTAGCCCAGTCAGGAGTGGTCAGCCCTCAGATTGCTGCTCTCTATTCTCATATCACCAATGAGTTAGGTATGTTCTTTACATGCGAGATGGATGCAGAACAGGCCAGTACAGCACTGAAGGGTTTAAGAGTGGAAAAATTTGGCACTTTGATTTATGATAGAGGGAGATCACTTGCATTATGCGAGGAAGATAGAACAATATATGGAGAGAACTGAGAAGATACAAGGGGAATAAAAGGGTAAGGTAGCTCAAGTTGGGATGAATTAGAAAGGGGCTTTTCTGTCTTGGTTAGAGAGGAACTCCTTGGTGAGGCATTGTAGTTGAGCAACCCTATACAGCTTTCCCTTGATATGGGGATGTGTTCCTAGAAAACACCATTTATAGTGAAACACGTTGAAATTAGTACAGTAAAGCCTGCGATAACGGTTCGACCAACAACTTTTCATATTTAAGACCCTAGTTAATAGGACCTAATTCAATTTACGTCCTTATTTCATTCGTGTTTACGACCAAAATATAATAAATAAAATAAAATTACATTTTCATATAAATAACTAAATCCCAATATGTATTATAAATAAAAATTACTGTAAAAAAATGAAGAGCGCATTGAAGCTGCCTGGCTAATGAGTGGTAATGCGCATCGCCAGTAAACAATCGGAGCTTGGCGGTCCATTTGTTTTCACGCATCTCAACAGGAACGGGAGAAAAACTTTCTCCGGTTTCTTACAGCATTTTTGCATCCCTATTCGACATGAGCAAGAGAGCAAGTGATGGTAGTGTTTCAAAAGCTAATAGAAAGTGTGTAAGCTTAGCCGAGAAACTAGATGTGTTAAAACGAGGTGAGAGGTGTGTGGATATTATATGGAGCAAGCAATGAACATATTTTCTGAAGTGGATCCATTAACAGAAAAAAGCATTAAAATTTAAATAAATGCAAATGACCTCTACATAAAGATGTATAATGAGAAAAAGCAGCTGTGCAAGGTTCTTTCGACAGCTTTATTATTCGAAGGCCTAAACCATCAAATTCAGCATCATAAGCAGTTTTAACTTCGGGTTCAGTAACAGTTCAGCAACAGCTTTTATGGAAAGCTACCGCTTCAGCCAGAGTTGAACCTGATGACTTCGTCATCTGAGTGAAAACTCGCACAATATTCATTGACTGTCCTTATGTCTTAGACTTGACCACCATTGTTGAGTAGAATTTTAGTTTTACATTCGTAAATATTATTTAAAACATATTGAACCGTAAATAAGTATTACTTTCTTATTCATATGTAGAGAAATTACGATATGTTTTCACATGTACGACTTGCTTGTTGATGCGTTGGCGTTCCCAATAGTCTTGCTTTATTTCTTTACCATTAGTGGTTAGCTACTTCTAGTGTTCCATTTATTAACATTAAATAACATTACTTAAAACATACATACAGGTTTTAATTTTTTTTAAATTAAGTTCACTACAGCTACAACCAGGGTCTTATTTTCTTCAGTTTCTTAGGTAGAACCATCGTCATTCACGAAAACAATGCCATCTTGTCTCCTTGTGTGTTTTAATATTCTACTTATTATTAATGAATTGCATTGTTCATTACACATATATAAACATTAATTCAATCGAATACATATTCAGTAATAAACAATGAATCTTTTGTACATATTTTTAAGATAAATGACTTTTCTCGAGTGTGCACGTTTACATGGCGTTCCACTATCAGTCTCACTTTTTCTTTAATATCTGTGGTTACTTCTACTGTACATTAAATAACATTAATTAAAACATACATATTTTTTACATTAATTTTACTACAACATCAACCAGGGTCTTATTTTCAGTTTCAGGTGGATTACTGACATTATGGGTGACGACACTGACAACAATGTCGTCTCTTATCCTCTTGTGTGTTTTAGTATTCTACGTATTATTAATGAATTGTATAGTTAATTTCGCATATATAAAGATCAATTCAATCAAATACATATTCAGTAATAAACAATAATGAATCTCTTGTACATACTCTTAAAAAGTTAAATGACGCGGTATTGTATCCTTAAATGCTCACGTATATGTTGGCGTTCCCAATCCATCTTTTTTCCTTTGCCATTAGTTTTTAGCTACTTCTATTGTTCCATTTATTAACATTACCTAAAACATGTACTGTAATATTTTTATTTTTTTTTTTTTTTATTTTTTTTTTGCAGCTACAGCCAGGGTCTTATTTTCTTCATTTTCTCGTGTAGAACTATCGTCCCGGGCTCCCGGCTTTAAACACAAGCGAAAACAATGGAGTCCCATCTCCTTTTGTGTGACCATATTATTATTCATTTATACTGTACAAGGTGCATTCAGAAACACTATTTAAAGAATATATTTTGCAATTTTCATTAATTGTATTGTTGGGGGTAGAAAAGAGGGTAAAAAGCCACTAAAGGGTATGAAAAGGTCACACTTGGGAATGTATCTCATTATTATTGCTTTATTTTAATGGTAATTATTGATTTGCAACATGATGATTCACCTTGCACTGCAATATTGGAGGACACGTTACCGTTGTTATTCAAGGCTTTACTCTGCAGTTATAATTATATGGGTAAATAGATATTGCTGAGAATTCCGAAACTATGGTCCACGATTCGATTGCTGGGTAATTAGTGGCTGTAATGATTTTGCAAGATATTAATTACATTTCTATGCTAATTACTTACCAATTATGGGTTTCCTGGGTGCGATTTTGGTGTTTTTGTTATACTGGAAGTACTTAATCAGTTTGACTCCTTAAATTCAAATTCCAAGAGAAATGTATATTTGGGTTGAAAAATTACCAAGACTTAATATTTTGGCAGTTTCAGCCAAACCTTAGATTTTGCTGAGTATCTCTGTATAGGAACTCCTGAGCATGCTGATTTTGAATCTTTGGGCCATGAATTGATTGCAGGGTAATTAGTGGCTGTAATGATGCTTGGAATGTTTTAATTACATTTTTTTCAATCCTAATTACGTACTTGCCAATTGGGTTTCTGAGGTGTGATTCAGGATTGTGTTTTTCTGGAAGGAAGTACTGTACAGTGGTCCCTCGGTTAATGAACACGATTCGTTCATTAACCGAATCTTATTTTTATGGGATATTGAGTAATTGGCTCCAACTCACAGAAAAGGTACATATAAAGTACTGTATACCAGTAATAGAATTAACAAAACATTAAATATAAACTGAATACAGTACTGAACAATAATAAATAAAAAACAATAGAATACTGTATTTTAACTTATTTTGAGGTGTGCATGTCGTATTACTGACAGCTTTGCTTACATATCAAACAGCTGATTGTAGAGGTCGATGATGACATGCCGTATTCTTTACAGAGTGCATTGGTTCTAATGCCTTCTTCATGTTTCATAATTTCTGCACTGTATATTATCAATATACTAAATTTCAGAATGACCAAAAATTTTAATGTAAAACTGCAAAAATATTCAAGAGGCCAACGTACTCAATGTTACTCCACTTTAAGCAAAGTTAAACTTGGAAGGGTTGTTGGGTGATTCAATCAGCTGATAGGTGCACAGAAACTGTTCCCTGTACCTTCTGTATTATCAATATAACTAAATTTCAGAATGATCAATAATTTTAGTATAAAAAATGTAGAAATATTCGAGACCAAATTTCTTGATATTTACTTCACTGGAAACGAATGTAAACATAGAACCAATTACTGTATTGGCGGACTAGCCAATCAGTTGATGTGCACAACAAAATGTGTTTGTCGTAAGGCATTCGTTAATCGAACTGAAAATCTTTATGGGAGCTATTTCGTTAATCGAACTGTTCGTTAACCGAGGGACCACTGTACTTAATTAGTTGAATCCTGTGTGACCACTGCCCGTGATCCCACTTGGACTTGTCCAACCTTTAATTCCCAAGTGACCCACTTCCATATAGCATTTAATCCATCAAACAGACCACGCCAAACATGGCTCGTGAACTTGCACAGGTTAAAATGTCAGTGTTGTTGATTGTGTATACTTATTTCACTGTTACATTTTCGTAGTTACTTACTCTTTGGTGATGAAACCTTAACAAATTGTGTGTGAAGATTATTTTTTAAATAAATATTGCTTTACTCGCCATAAACTGGTTGCATCTACCTGAACTGCGGGCCACATTAAATAGAATTTCTCGGTCATTCCACTGGCTGCACAAACACATGGTTCTCGGACACCTGCAGTTTTGTTAAGTCTACAAATGGGGCATTGATTAATGCAAGGGTGAATGCCCCAAAATAAAGTTTTGAGAAAATGGGGTTTAAAGTTTGCAGATATTAATAATTCATAACCTCCAAAAAAATTCATCAATTCTGTTCAGTGAGGTCTCCTTTTAAAGGCAATTTAATGCAGACTATGATCCTTGTAATAAATGAAGTGTGATGTTTGATTTTGGGACACATTGATGTCAAATAATGAAATGGTGTGAAATTAGCATTTATGGAAATAATGAAGTTCTGTACACAAAACAATACATTTATATTGTTATAAAGTAAAAAAACAAATATAATAAATAATGGTAACACTTTAGATGATTATGCTCCGCTAAAGAATGTGGTAGCAGGGAGGTTTCTCATTGGTCGGCAAGCTCCTTCCCGACATGCTGATTAGCTCTTGAGTAAGGCAGTCTGTGATTGGTCGCCCGACCACTGGCTAGTTCGACTTTGCTTTACTTTCGCCCGACACTAAAATTACCACAGGCAGCACAATGACGCTGGGAGTTTTACACCATGTGATTCAATGGGATTTTGCCAGTAAATCAAAGGCGAACTCGTCATCGCATCTGGTTTCATAGTAGAATGAAACTTTCTGAAATGAATGGTACAAAAATCGCATTTTCGCTTGGGTGGCGAGTTCACCCTTGCATTAATCAATGCCTCAAATGATCTTTTAATAACCCCTACAATAACCATGCACCTTCTCAAACTCTGGGGAAGTCGACTTGTCTCCACGAGGGGCCAGTCTCTCGGCCAATTGCCTGCTTGTCCAGTTTCTCATTTACTCTTATTTAATATGTGGCAGATAAAAAAAGAAACTACAGCTAGACCCCGACTTACGACGGGGTTAGGGACCCAAATCCAGGTCGTAAGTCCGACAGATAAAAAAAAAAATTTTTTTTTAATAAAAAATCTACAATGAAATACAGTACAGTGGCCCCTCCATTAACGAACTCAATCCGTTCCAGAAGGTCGTTCGTTAACCGAAATGTTCGTTAACCGAAACCATTGTTTCAATGGGTTTTTGGGTAATTGGTTCCAGCTCACCGAAAATTTCCTAACTTCAACAAAAATGGCGGAAAAATTTACTTACTTTGAGGTGTGTATGTAGAAGGCTCCTGGATGATGATGTGCATTTGAAGTGGGAGGTGCAGGAGGAGAAGGGAGAAGAGAAGGAAGTGGAGGTGGAGGAGAAGCATTTTACTGATTCTTGGAAGGCGAGTCACCTTCCATGAAAATGTCAGGAACCTCTGGACTGACAGATTCTCCACCATGAACATCCTCTCTCCTTCTTGAAGTGGAAGGCTGAGGGCTAGCATCTTGTTCCATCTGCCTTTTACTGAAGAAAGTGTCAATTGTGGTCTGTGGGGCATCTGTCCTCCTCACCATTAACTTATGTTTAAAGGAGACCACCGAGTCCTCAACATGACAAAGTTAGTTCAGTTTTTTCCACTTCTGGGTGCTTTGAAGACAGTTCCCTGAACTTCTCCCAGTGGTAAATCAAATCTTTCAACTGTTTAGCTGACATATGGTCATCACTTTCAATTTCCTCCTCACCACTGTCAGCCTCTACCCGTAACATCTCGTCCAGTTCCTTCAAGTCATCAGGAGTAAGTTCCTCCTCATGAGACATCACAAGCTCTTCCACATCCTTCTCCTCCACTTCAAGGCCCAATGACTGACCAATGGACACCATCTCCTGGTCCAACGCTGTGTCATCCTCAAATCCCCCAAAATCATGGACTGCTGATGGCCACAGTGCTTTCCATGAAGAATTGAGGGATCTAGTGGAGACTTCTTGCCATGATGACACAATCAATTTTACAGCCTCCAGGATGTTGAATTGTGTCTTCCAGAACTGTTTCAGTGTTAGTTCAGGATCAGTGGAAGTTGCCTGATGACACCTAAACATTTTCTTCATGTACAACTTCTTGAAGTTGCTGATTACATTCTGGTCCATTGGCTGTATGAGTGATGTCGTGTTTGGAGGCAAAAACAACACTTTCACAGTCAAATTGATACTCCAATTTTCTGGCAAGGTCAGGGTCATGACCAGGAGCATTATCCATGAGGAGAAGAGCCTTTAAAGGAAGTTTATTGGTGGTTAGGTAGCTCTTGACAGAGGGGCAAAGCACATCAACAGCCCATTCATTAAAGAGCTGTCTTGTCACCCATGCCTTACGGTTGGACTTCCAATAAACTCCAAGCATTGTTCTTACCACTTTCTGTTGCTTGAACACCCTGGGGTTTTCAGAGTGGTAGACCAGCATAGGCTTCAGTCGGAAATCCCCTGAAGCATTGGCACCAAGCAGTAGAGTGAGATGGTCTTTCATGGGTTTATGCCCAGGTAAAGAGGCTTCATCTTTGGTGATGAATGTTCTTTTGGGCATCTTTTTCCAGAACAGCCCAGTTTTGTCCACATTGAACACTTGCTGTGGAAGATAATTTTCTTCCATCAGTTTTTTAAATTCAACTAAAAACTTTGCTGCCCCTTCTTTATCAGCACTAGCAGCTTCACCATGCCTAACAACACTTAAAATGCCACTTCTTTTCTTAAATTTTTCAAACCAGCCTTTGCTAGCCTGAAAATCTTAAAATTCTGTTCCTGAAGAACCAGGTTGATCTGCCTTTAAATGTTCATAAATCTCCCTGGCTCTTTCACAAATGAAATCACCAGAAACTGAATCACCTTTCATCTGTTTTTCCCTAATCCAGATGATAAGTAACCTCTCAGTTTCTACGATTAGGGATCTACTTTTAAACACTTATAGATTTGTCTCTCACGTTCACTTCCTTAAATTTGTCTTTTTGTGCAAGAATTGTCGACACAGTTGATGCCGACATGCCATATTCTTTGCATAGCGCATTTGATTTAATACCTTGTTCGTGTTTTTTTATTATTTCCTGCTTTATTTGGATTGAAATCGCTTTTCTTGATCTCTTAGGCCCCATGCTGGATTCAAACAATGGCAACACGTATTTTTCAAAGTTAAACTAGCTGTAAATAAAGAATATTTTCTTTAAAATAACACTGCACTGCACTATATATTGTCAATATGTAAAATAATTTTCAAAATGACCAATAATTTGCTTGGAAACACAGAAAAAAAGCGTTTAGTTGAAGAGTCTCGAGCAAGATGTTACCTCCAGTGAAAACAGAGAGACTGACGCCTGTTTGCTGTGTTAAGAGGCTGGATGCCGAGCATTAAACTAGTCACTTTACCTTCAATTTTGCTCAATAATTGTTAAAACGACTAAAAAATTGAATATTAAACTTTTAAAATTATTGAATAGTATAAACTTCTTGATATTTACTAAAATAGTAAGGAATTTAAGCCCTAGAACCGATTAATGTATTGGCGGACTGATAATAAAGCTGGTTGCCCGGTCAGTGCAAGCGAAAACATGTTGAGGTCGGTTCGTAAGAAGTTCGTTAAGCGAAATTTTTTTTTGTTAACCGAATTGAAGATCCTTATGGAAGGCAGTTCGTTAATCGAAATTACGTTAACCGAGGTGTTCGTTAAACGAGGGGTCACTGTACAGTAAAAGTAATAAACAATGAGGAATGGATACAGTACAGTGAAAGTAATAAATAATGAGGAATGGATACAGTGTGACTGAGCACCTACCTTTAATGTAGTCAGCTGAATGCACATGGGGCCCCCATAATTTTCTAATTATACATGGAGACTACATTAACTGGAAACGTTTCGGTATAGAAAATGCGTGCGTCATTTGTAAAAAAAATGGTCACAACTGCGGCGGCCGTAAGTCCCGACGGTCGTAAGTCGAAGCAGTCATAAGTCGGGGTCTAGCTGTATTCTTAAATTTATAATTCATATGTACAATAAAGGTGTCGAGTTAAAGAGTAAATGTGGAATTTTAAAGTTAACAGTTTGGATGTGTGGATGTCAGTTGTGCATGGGGGTGTGTGTGAATGTAGTGTCAACCGATATCTTTTGTGCCGTGTAAACAAAACAGCTGGAATTTAGGGTGATGCAATGTTTCATCTGGGTTGTCGTTGCCTTTTCCCCTTTAGAGAACATGGCTCCAATTGTAGAATGGAAATAAATGTATTACTTCAGCTAAGCATTACATGCTGTTTACTTTTTCAAATCTTGTGTAGTTTCATGTAAGTACTGTACTGTTATAAAATTATAACTGTACTTCATGAATTTCACATTTATTACTGGTTTATAATAATTGTATACCCCAAAAAAAAATTTTTTGAAGATGTTTTCTGGCATTTTAAGGTGAGGGATGTTTTCAGGAATGGAACCCTTTCATAAACCTGGGAATGCTTGTAATATTTTTAATCCTTCCTATTTGGTGAACCTTATAAATGTATTGGTAATTGTTCATATACCGTTTAGCAAGTATCTTGCCCATTTTATAGTTTAAATTTAATGTATAATACAGGTATATGCTTTTGACGTTATAACTTGTAGGTGAATCTCGTGGTGCCCATTCTTTGCCTCCTCTGAAGTATGATTATGATGCACTGGAGCCTCATATCTCAGCTATGATAATGAAGATTCATCACACTAAGCACCACCAGGGCTACATCAACAACCTCAAGGCTTGTACCGAGAAAGTAAGTAACTCGGAATTTATTTATACAATTACAATTGAAATATCTAGGGGAAGGAGAGAAAGCTATACCCAGTACTTTGTATTTGTAGTTCTATAGAAGGCATTTGACAGGTTACCACATAGGTTAATGCTATGGACTATGAGAAAGTTTGGGTTAGAGGAGTGTCTTGTTCTAGTGGTTATAGGGGTGAGAGGACACGAGAACTTCTGAGTAAATAGTGAGGGAAGTGAAGAATTGGACTTGAAAGTAGTGTTCCATCAAGGGTCTTACTGGAGTCCCTTTCTGTTTAGATTTCATCATACTAGGTACTATTGTGAAATTTTAGGACTGGTCATCCCCAGGATTTTTATGCTGGTGACTTCGTGAGGGAGAGCATGGTTAAAACAAATTCAGCAATGATTAGTGGTGATTGAATGACTTGGTGGTAAATGGCCATGTGATGTTTGGCTGTAATTCAATAATGTTCAGTGTGTTGAGGGTGGGCATGCAAGAGTTGAAGTGATTTAATGGAAGACTGTAGGATGTAAGGTTAGGTTAAAGAAGATTGGTAAGTACTGTACATCCTCCAGTGTGTGTGTGTGTGAGACCATATCCTGCCTCGAATTCATGCACAAATCAACTTAAACTAATTGTCTCCTTTAAATCGTTGGGAAATTTGTCAATTTTTTTTATTTCTGTGGCAACACTGGCATTATCAAGGACTCACTGAATAACGGGCTTTGAGTGGAATTCCTTGTACACCGTCTACCAAACTCATTCTCTAACCTGTCTTCTGTATCACACATTGGAGTAGTGTCCTCTGTAAGCAGCAGTAAACTGGCCATTTGCATCCCATATCATTATTTACAAACTTGTCACCCTTCTCTAGGACTTGGGCCTTCTCCTCTTACTACTCCACCCATAAAGCTATTAACTCGCCTTTCTGACATTTCACATCCCAGACGTAATCCTCATTCTGCTGGGAATTTTTCTCTACCCAAGAAACTCTGAACTGCATTCAGTAATTTACCGTTTAAACACCCAATTCATTTTCACTATTTCCCACAAACTGCTCAATTTTATCTAATGGATCCATGACTTCCAAACAAATTCTTCCTCTTAAGATGCTTTTTAAATATTCAGTTTAATGGACAACCTTGATCCACATTCTCATTGAGATCTTGGTGCTCTTCTCCAATACTGTACTGTAATCTTGTTGCTACTTTTCTCTAAACTTCACTATGCTTTTTTCCTCCATTATACTTCTCAAATTAATACCCTTATTTTTGTATTTACCCATATTCAAAATATAGCTTGTAATTTATACTTTATTTATCCTACAGCTTATAGAGGCAGAGGAAGCCACTGATGTGGCGGCTATGAATGCACTACTTCCAGCTATCAAATTCAATGGTGGCGGGCATCTCAATCACACCATCTTTTGGACTAACATGGCCCCAAATGCTGGTGGTGATCCTTCTGGTGCGATCGCTGATGCCATCAATGAGGAGTTCGGCTCATTTCAGGCATTTAAGGTTGGTAGTCATGGGCAATTACCGTAACTATGGGGGGGGGGGCTATTAAAAGTGCAAAGAAAGCAACACTGATTATGAAGGTTTGTCATTATTTTAATTTATATTTTTGTGTACATACCCTGTAGAGGTGGGATATAAGGAGTGAACATAGGGGTAGGGTATAAGGAGTCATCGTTAAGAAGTTCGTAATATGACTTGTGTTATTAGACAATCGTCGAAGTTTTTGGGATGCCTGAGATATACCTGTTAGTTACATTGTGTAACTTATATTTTATAGGTACAGTACAGTAGATGTTCATCTGTACTGCCAACCACATGCTACTGCTGTGAGGTTTCAAAAGATGGACGAATTTCTTTACTGCATTGTACACTATTCTGTTCATGGATAATGATGTAGAGTTTCGAGTCAAGTGTTTTGGGCCGGGTTTACGGGTATGATTTTCAAACACGTTAAATGCGGGTAGGTAAAATGTCCAGGCGAGTAGTTGTTCTCTGCATATCATAGTGAACATAACAAGAGCTTTTCCTTCAGTTAATAGGCATGTAGAACAGTTTTTATAACAAATTTCTGCTTTGTTTAGATTATTGTAGTTGATACTGTGAAGATAATTCCAGATAGAATACCATGAAGCACAAGGTAAGGTTTTTAAGTCTTAGATAGTGAACTTTAATGTGGTTGTATTTGTTGCAGGACAAGTTTTCAGCAGCCAGTGTGGGAGTGAAAGGCTCTGGTTGGGGTTGGCTTGGCTATTGCCCCAAGAATAACAAGCTGGCTGTAGCTACCTGCCAAAACCAAGACCCTCTTCAGGTTACTCATGGTAATGTCTTTGTTGTTTTGCAGCTTAATGGTATTGATTTCTAAACATTAAACTTACAGAATGGCTGTGCACTGATGTGGGAGTGAGTAGGTGAATTGGGCGAGATCTTGATGGAAAAATTTATTTAACTACAGAAAATGGATTAGCAAAACTGGTGAAAGTAAAACTTAACTTAAATAATAATTAAAAAAAGGGAGGCTTTTATGTGCAGTAATGATATCCCTTAGTATCAAAAGAAATGAAACGAAAAAGAATAGTAAAAATGGAAATAATGTTACAGGTTGAATTTAAGTTGCAGTTATAAAGTAAAAAATTTTCAATGGGAGAACTAGTTTTTACATGGCTATGAAGTAGTTCTGTCACATTGCAATAAAGTTTGTCACGGTCTGTTAATAGGTTTCTGATTTGTGTTCTAACTGGTTTTCTTGTAGAACATTATTTTTAAATTTAGGGGAAATATTTATATAATTATACCATAGCTACTGGTCATAAAGTGACCTGTGGAAATTTTTCTTGAACTCCCTATAGTGAGCCAACCATCACCGAGGGTCTTCTTATACTCCAGCAGTAGGTTACAGTTGTCTGAAAAGTTCAGCATTATTGCAGTTTGATTCCTTGATCAATGAATTAGTATCAAAAAACATTTAATTTTCGAAAGGTAGCTAGGCTTTGAGTTTGTGACTCACGCTTGTTTCTCGTCTCAAACCACATGTACAATTGGGGAACATTTCCACGTGTTAGTCACCTGCTCTCCATGAACTGTGAATCTGCGCCAGCAAGCAGAGGTTAATTTTTTCCCGTACCAGTGTGGATGGGGCGATAGGGCCGAGGCTACATAATAACTGTGCCTCGCTCTGGTAAAGGACTGGGCCATCATCATTGTGTAGTGTGACTAAATAAGTCCCCTTTTCAGTGGAATAATGCTTTTAATAGATTATAGATTCCAAAATCTCAAGAATTTTTGCTTAAATTTTCTCCTATTTCAGGTATGATTCCCTTGCTTGGTCTTGACGTTTGGGAGCATGCTTATTATCTCCAGTACAAGAATCTTCGTGCTGATTATGTAAAGGCGTTCTTTAATGTCATTAATTGGTCTAATGTCAATGAACGCTTGGAGACTGCCCGCAAGTCTGCTGGACACTGACTTTTCTACACCACATCAGCAAAGCCTTCATGTACTACAGTAGCTTCCCATTTGTAATGTTGCAGGGTCCAACCAATTATCAGTTTGCAAGCAAGCAATCCTTGATGTGGTTTAGATAATAAGCCAGATAAACATAGTTTGTATACAGGAATACTGGTCAAACTACAGTGAAAGGAAACATTTATTTTCCAATATCTATACCTTAAGATTCACCAACAGTGATGAAACTTGCATGTTTTGGTGATATAAGAAATTTATTTTCCAATGTTAGGGGCATAACTACATTAAAATGATGTCCAAGATGGTCTTTATAATTGTCACTTTTGATATAGGGAATCCATGCTATTCAAAATTTAACCTTTGACTTACAGTATGTGTTAAGTCTTGTGCCCAAAGTAGTGTAAAATATGTACAGTAGTTATAACCACAAACCAAAATCCTTGGAAGCAAAGGGTTTTTGGCATTCAGGATGAAGAATGTACTGCACAGGCTTATCTCCAAGAAAGAAACTCCTGTAATAGATCTTATTGTAGGTCTGCCCCTACAGTTTTACTTTAAAGCACTCAAACATATTGGGACAATATATTGTACTGTACTGACATGCTTAATAAAACTATATATAACTTTAGAATTTTATTGGATTTTGTACTGAACAGAATATACTTTTTAAAATATCCTTAAAAGTGAGGTGTTGTAAAGAAAATGACGTTGTAGACTGTAACCCCCACTTAAGCTTTGGATCAAAGAATTGTTCTATTTGTGACAAAGGTTCAAAACTGTCCCATTTAAAAATACCCATACCGTAGATGACATATATGGATACTATAAACAATCGATTTTGCATCTATAAAGCCAAAAACGGTTTATAGTAAAAATAATAAAATTCATTTGGGATAGAAATTATCAACTATGGATGGCCATAACTGTTGAATTTGTTCATCACCAATTGGTAAAGTGCCATTTCAAATGCTATACTTTACAGGTATGTAAAAATTTGGCTTTTAAGTCAAAATAACTTGCTTCAGGCAATAAATCTACTGTTCTATTGTTTACCCATGGAAGAATAATGAAGCCCTATTGATAAAGGAGTGTAATCAACACTAATTTTTAAAGTTAATAGAAAAAGATGAAGTGAGAAGATTGCATTGGCAAATCATGGAATTAAGTGAAGTAAGATGGACAGGTTCAAATGGCATTAGTAGTAGAAGATTTTTAAATACTATATTTAGGCAGAAAAACAATGAAGGTTTGTATTATGTTTTGTAAACCAGGAGCTGAACAGTAGTGTAAAGGGGCATTGGGTAGTGTCAGATAATTTTTGTTAGTGCTGATTAATGCTAATCCCATGGACAGTATAACAGGTGTATGCATTGACTAATGATGAAATTCTTAATGAAGGTTTAAAGAACACGAGACCATGAAGTTTAATGAATGGGTGATTTTAATGCAAATGTTGAAAGGGAAAGAAGCACCCGAAGTAGGATCACATGGGTAATGGAAATAAAAGGAGTATTATGAATTGACTAGTGTATTAAACATGATATATGATGTATGTAAAACAAATGAGTAGGAAGGGATCAATTGCTTGACTATACTGTATACTTCGAAGGAGACCTTTCAAGTGATATAAGAAAAATAAATTCTATACGTATACAGTATATATTTGTATTGCAGTACTGTATTACCTAATAAGCCAAAAGCCTGAAGAGTACACCCAATTTAGAACAATTAACAAGTAATGCTTGCAAAGTTTTAAGCACTATTCTGTATAGAATAAAATTCAGAAGACGAGTTATCTGAAGATCAAAATGGATTTAGGAAGGGAACAGGAAGAGAAGCTATTGTGTATTTGGTCTGAGAACTTGAGTGAAAGGGTTTTAAGAGGTCCAAAGAAATTTGTATATCTGCATTACTTTTACTTTTATCCTCTTCACCACTGATCGGCTCGTTAGCTTGGGCGGGCGATCCCGTCTCTCTTATGCACTGTTAGCAAGTATTGGGCATGCAGTGGCTCCTGAATGTATCTGAACCTGTTCCAGTGTTGGTCAAGTCTGGTCTTGAAACAGCTCACACTTGGTGCCCTCACAATACACACTGGCGGGTTGTTCCAAGAGTTCACAATTCTCCCTCCGAAAAAGCTTTCCCTCACAGTTTTCTGGACTTGGGGCTTCTTTAACTTTGAGCTATGACCTCTTGTGAGGCGGGTGTCCACCAGCTCCAGGTATGGACACTTGACTGGGTAGTGCCATTTTGAGATGTTTATTCACCTCAATCAGGTCAGCCCTTTCCCCTTCCTGCTGGGGACTGACGTGATGTGACTGTTTCCAGGTGACCTCACCTAGGTACCTTCTTAACCCCTGATAATCCGCCAACCGAAAGTTTGGGACTCTGACCATATTGTCATTGTTTTTCGTTTCCCAATTTAGGGTGAAGCTGATTTCTCTGTGATCACTGTTACCTAGTTCTTCCCCTACTGTGATATCTCTGATAATATTTTCTTTATTTGTTAATACTAGGTCTAATATATTGTCACCTCTAGTAGGTTCTGTAATTAGTTGTTTCAAAAAATTGTCTTGTACTGCATCTAGGAAGTCTTCAGATTCATAGTCACCCACAATGTTGTCCCAGTCAATATTTCTGAAGTTGAAATCCCCATAATGCATAGGTTGTTATATTTTGCTGCCCTATTCATTTCTTGCCATATGGGCTGAGCTGCTTCTTTGCCAAGACTTGGGGGGCCTGTAAATCACTCTCATAATTAGTTTTTCTCTTCCTTCCGTGATTTCTACCCACACAGACTCGGTTCCTATTTCACCCTTTATTGAATTATTAATTCAACATTTTAATGTATCCTTGACGAAGAGTGCGACCCCTCCCCCCTTCCTACCTTCCCTGTCCTTGTGAAAAAGGTTGTACCCTTCTATGTGGTACTCTGATAAAAAAATTTTGCTCGCCAGATTCATCCAAGTTTCGGTGATTGCTATGATGTCTACATTCTCGGTACATACAACCGCTCTCAGCATCTTCAGAGGCAACTGGATTACATGGACAGAAAGAGGCTTAAATATACAGGGTGACCTTATTAAACATGAGGTCAGGTCATAATGATGTCATCCACTAATCCCCACACCAACACCAACACAACCGTAGTGGAGCTTAAGAGAAGGGGGCGATGTGACTAGTCAGGTCAGGTCACAAATAAGGGACCCACTAAATAACTATCCTACATCTAGATCCAAGGTTAAAATCCAAGGTTAAAAATGCTTTGAAAATCTTATCCACGTTTTCATTGTGGATCTACATGAAAAAAAAAAAATATATATATATATATATATATATATATATATATATATATATATATATATATATATATATATATATATATATATATATATATATATATACATATATATATATATATATATATATATTTATATATATATATATAATTGATAGTGTACGTAAGGAAAGAAGGGTTTTCTCTTCAGGGTGTACAGCTGATCAGTCATATGGGTTGCGTTAGGCTTACCCACGCAACCAACTCCAAAGTTTGTTTTACCAGAGATAAGACGCCCGGCGAGGCATAACTGGGACATGTATTTTTCAATTAGTGTATGTTAGCCAGCCTTTAGGGGGGTGGGCAGTGAAACAGTGTTGTACTGTTCATCGCTTCACACCCAAAAACCTCATTTTGAGTAGTATCCCCTGAGCCATGGGTTAGTTAAGACGTCGTCTCCATCCTCTCCCTCCTGAAAGGGGGCGGGACACCACACCACACAGAGTCCTCCACCGCCACTCCGTCCTGTGAACCGTCGTCGACACGAGACTAAGCGTGTTAACCTAGGTTGTTATCCCCGTGGAAATATCACGTGTAGATGCCTGGTTGCGACAAGAGCATTCCAGGCTGGCCTATCAAACCTACAGTAAATGGTTAATTAATTCACGCTTACAGAGTTCTCCTGCACGACACCCGTCTACCGTGACCGTGATCGACACGAGACTAAGTGTGTTAACCTAGGTTTGTTATCCCCGTGGAAATATCACGTGTGGAAGCCTGGTTGCGACAAAAGCAATCCAGGCTGGTCTATTGCACCTAATGGTTAATTCAAGTCACGCTTACCAGTTCTACTTGCCGCGACAACCGTCCAGTGACTGTCAGTGACGCGAGACTATGTGTGGTAACCCAAGAGTACCTTTTTGTTGTTATGGCCGTGGGAAGAAGTTCTTGTGATGAAGCCTGGTTGCAACAAAAGCAATCCAGGCTGGCAGTAAATGTATCACTTGAAGAATTAAGGCTCTGTTAAGTCATACCACAGTAGAGTAATCACATGTGTCCCCAAGTTGGAAATTCCCTGTTTTAGAAGATTAATTTTATTACAGCGTGAACGTGAGTAAATCATATATCCATGCAAACTGTAAATCATTGTATGGAAGCTTGACAAATAAATGTAAGTGCAATTATCTGCCCGTATCTGTGATCCTACCTTATTATTACTAAAGGTAATGACTGATTGGTTATGACATAGTATAACCAATAACTTAGATGGATGTTGAAAATTAAATGAATTCATTAAATCATCATTTATCAAGTATTGGCGGGCGGCAATTGTCATGGTTTTGGGGTGGTTCGGTAGTAGTAGGAGTGGATTATATTATATAGAGATAATATTATGTCGTATTTCTTATTTCTTACTGTAGAGTTCGATACCTTCACACTGGTTACTTACAGGAGATTATGGCGTATCTACGTAGAAGTTCACTCCACCACTCGACATTCCATGATTTATACTTGATAAATGATGATTTAATGAATTCATTTAATTTTCAACATCCATCTAAGTTATTGGTTATACTATGTCATAA